CGGACATTCATATATGAGAATTAAAATGTACAACAATTTGTACGCGATTCACTATTATCACATGATTCGTCTGAAATAAATGCCCCTTATATAACATAATGTCACTATATCTTTCACACATGCTGCCCACTGTTTATTATCGGCGATTTTGAATACGCGATAGTATTGTTGTCACAATTTTTGACATATTGCTATGAATTTTTGTGTTAATTTAACTGATCAAATCACGTGAAATGATATCCGAAACAATGACCCATTCGTTATCACACAATGAGAGCGATGGCACAGATTCTAAAGTAAAATTTTGTGTTTCTTCCATCTGCGACGAACGATCAAAAATATGAGTTCATCAGACGATTGCCTCTGCTATATAAACTCTGCAAAAAGAACATCCAATTCATCAGTTGTTTGTTTGAGTTCATTCATTCGGGGGGATTATAAGGATTATAATGAAACAATTTTGTGTTTTTTTCGTCTTACTCTTCGGAATCATGCATTGTGGAAGCATCGATTTGGATAAGAATAATGACGAACTCATTTTTGCACACACAGTAAGGAAATTTCAAGTTTTTTGAGGTTCTTTTTTTCAGTTGTGAAAGTAATCGCCTAATGTTGTTACAAAACCCATATAAAGCATGTAGCGTTAATGGCCTTTCAGGTTCTGGAAGTTCATAAATTTACTGTGCGTTTTTTTGTAATTGAAATGAATGTTATTTGAGAGAAAAAAAATTTGAAGAAAAACTTTAACCCTTTATCGGTTCTAGAAAAAATTTCGCATCCTATAGAGTAGATTTTCAAGTTAATTTCTAGTTATTTTGAAAATGTTCAACGTTTACTATAGCTCTGTAGGCATGGGGATCGCAATCCGTACTATTCATTTCCAAATGACATTTGGAAGGCAGAAGAACATTGGCTACCAGGTGGTTATAAAGAGCTAACCAACGTGGGTAGTAAATATTTTAAGAATTTTTGTCCAAATTCTCATCCATGGTTCTCGATTGTCACAGATTGGGAAAAGACAAATGTATGTTTTAGGACAATACCTGTTTGGCAGATACAGAAACCTTCTTCAAAATGGTGCATATAGTCCAAATACTGTCTACGTTCAGTCAACGGTAAATCGCATTATAAATTATTATTTATCCATTTGGGCACCCAATTTTTTGCTGATGTTGCAGGATATAGATCGAGTGTTGATGAGTGCTCAAACATGCTTGACAGGCATGTTTTACCCGAGTCCCGAACAAATGTGGATGGGCTCGCACTTGGACTGGCTTCCGATACCAGTACATACGCAATTACATAAAGAAGACTACACTTTAGCAACGTATAAACGATGTAACCGTTTCGATTACCTAATGATAGAATATCTCAAAACGGAAGAATATACAGGACTATTCAAGAAATATGGTTCTCTCTTTCAATATTTGGAGGTTAATTCGGGAAAAAAGTTGCCAACGCTTGTCGATATCAATGATCTATACGATACGCTCAGCATACAAAAGCTGAAGGGCAAGCAGTGTGTAGACAAGGAATGAGTGAGTCTAAAATAGTGTCTGAAACTATAATTTTGTTTTTATAGATTACCAAAGTGGGCAGAAAGCGTGATGGTGCCTGGTGGAGATTTTGAGTATCTTTCAATGTTTTATTTCCAAATCTTCACTTCGACGACCGGAACGAAGAGATTGAAATCTGGATTTTTGTTGAAGGAAATACTAGATCGGTTCACAAAGAAGACTCAATCGAAATTATCACCCGACCGCGTCCTATTTCTATACTTCGCCCATGATAACACCATCGCGAATATGTTAAACAGCCTTGGGCTTTATAAAGTATGTAACAAGTAGAAGGTATCCGTTCTTTTATGCCAAGATTTTGTAACTTTTAAATATTTTAGCTTCATCATATCACGTATGCATCGTGCCTATTCTTTGAGTTGTACAAGACAGATACGAGACCCTATGTGGAAATCTTCTATAAAAACTCCAGCGAAACCAATATTCCTTTGTTGCTTGAAATTCCTAATTGTGGCACGAAATGCCCATTGGATAAGCTATACCAATTGTATGAGGATATACTTCCGACGCAGAGCTTTGAAAAAGAATGTGAATTACGCGATGGTGAAACTATGGGCAGAAATCCAGAAAGTGGTGAACTGTAATGCATTACTCCAGATGATTTGTTTTTTTATAAATGAAATCGGTTTATATGTTATGGTGCAAAAACATGTATTAATCGTGGAAACACAACTGTGATGATAGCAGTTGAAAACAATTTTATCAGAAATATTTGAATATTTGAATACATAGTCATTGAAAAATCTTTCTTTGATAAATATAAATATTTGAGTGATTTTAATTTGGTTTGAAAAAAAAAATCAATCTGTCACCAGATTCAAAGTAAATTGAATCCGCGTGTTATCAAAATGGATACTAGGGGCAGCTATCTCTTTCAAATCACTACGAAACATTGAAATAATACTTGAATCTTAACATCATTTACGAATCATTCTGGATTTGACACCAGTTAAATTTCCCCAGTATCTACTTTGAGTTGACGGTTGAACGACCATAAATTCATAGGGATGTCAAT